TTTGTTGTGGCATCAACTTGCAGGACATTGGAACATTGTATTTAATGGGAATAAAAGCTCGAGCTTTACATGACCCAAGGGTAAAAAGAGTTTGAGTCGAGTCTAAGGAAAGGCCAAGCAACCTTATAGCGGGTTGGACTCGCGTGTTAGCCTAGCTTCATCGGGCTTATGCAGCATTTGAACAGAATGCACGCCGGCTAAGAGCATGATCTCCCACTACGCCCTCCGAAACGGCTATGGAAATCAATTAGGTAGAAGAAATAAAGGAAAGAAATTCCATCATGTAAAGGTAATTATATCAGGGAATACCGCGGTGTAACTCGGCCAGATGACAGTCCAGGTGGATCTTAAAGTCCGCCATAGTGGGTGCCAAGACTAAATCGGCAGGCAGAGCACTCCACGGTCGGCAGATTGGCAAAGCGAAGTAGTGTCGTCTGCAGTTCAGCCCACTTTGCTGATGTGTGAGCCTCAGTGGGTGGCCACGTAGGTGGGAGCCCGACTGGTGCAGTGTGAGTAGGTGGCGACAAGGATGTCCAGGGTTGGATAAGATCATGAATACAAGGATCACGTCACCCCGTAAACGTCGGTACTTAAGCGAGTAGAGGCTGTAGCGCCCTAAAAGATAACGGTTATCTATCATGTACAATTTAATTGTTGACCAATTGTACATTACTCCTTTTTGTTTTTATCTTCCTTACAACCGGCTAGTCACACGACAGCCTTCTAAATTCCCGCGCTTATGTGTTCGCTCTCTTCTCGCTTCATCCATCCGCTTCTTATTGTAGCCCTTCGAATACAGTCCACTGTGTCCGACTCCCATTGCCTTCTGAAATCCGCGCTTAATTTCGCGCACTGGCTCCGACTAGTACTAACTAGTCCTACAAGGCCCAGCCGCTGAAGTCGTTGTGGATAATGTAGGTGCTTGAGACCTCGGACCGATTTGGTTGTTCGACGTTGTGGGGCTTCGAGTATGCGTTGGTCCTTCAACATCCACAGGCTCCAAGCCTGAATAGCTAACTCCACGTGGGGTCGAAGAAAAGCGTTGAGGAGGAGGCGGAAATTGCTGGGGTCAATTTGACCGAAGGCTCGTTTCAGCAATCGCACCATGCGGTTAGCAGCAGGAGCTGCTTTCCGGCAGGAAACGGATACGGAAAGACTCGTCTGGGTAACGATACCCAAGTTTCTTTCGGCTGAAGAGATCTGGAGGATAGACGCCCCCAGGTAATATATAGGAGAAAAAGCGGAAGGGTGGGTAGAAAGGACGCAACATTTCGAAGCGTTAAATGAAAGGTTGTTTTCTATGGTCCACTGAGGTAGACGGTCGAGGTCCGTCTGAAGTTGGTGGACAACATCCGGAAAGTTAATAGTGCGCAACAGCTTCGCGTCATCCACGTAAAGCAGCAGCGAAGACCACTTGTTGTGTGACGTCATCAGTGAAGGCTAGGAAAAGGTGCGATCCGAGAAAAGACCCCTGTGGAACTCCGCTTGTGGCAAGGATGAGGGGAGACAACGCTCCGTCGACGCGTACTTGGAAGGTACGGTTTTGAAGGTAGTTCCGGATCCAGTGCATCAAGGCTCCTGAAACTCTGTAAGGCAACAGTTTCTGCAGTAGAAGTTTGTGGTCGACCTTGTCGAAGGCTTCGGCGAAAGCCAGGAATATAACATGCGTTTCTACGCCAGAGTCGGCAGCAGTCGTCCAGCTATCCCTGGCAAGTAGCAAGTGACTGAGGCATGACCGTTGACGCCGGAAACCGTGCTGGCAATCAGAGAGCAGTTTCTGGGCCTCCATGTAGTCCAGTAAAGCGTCTGCGACGATCGATTTCATAACTGGAAATCGTAGCGAGGAGTTAGTAGTCGGTAATTGGCCGGATCTTTGCGAGTGCCTCCTTTGTAGATGGATCCGAAAGAGTAGTGCACGGGGTTCGGCTTCGCTTACTCACGGGGGTGATCCAACCGGAGGCAGATGGTGATGATGAGCACGGTGGAACAGATGAATCGCGAATACCGCCAGGCTTCATCGGAGAAGAAGAATCAAGGCTCAACGCAGACAGTACGGCGAGAAAACGCCTACTATGCAGTGAAGCGCGGCAGCTGTCGCCAAAAAAAGTAATGTCTGGCGAGGTGAATCCCTGCAAGAGCACATATTGATCAGGACAGATACCGCAGCAGGTAATGTGCATCCACCTATCACATTCAGAGCACGGCACTCATTTTGAACGAGTAGTGACAATATTCATACAGAAAGCATTTGGTAGCCATGAAAGATAAAGTTCAAATATTTACTAAATGATTCTCCAAAAATTACCTTGATTCGCTTTTCTTCGCCCAGAAGTTCTCCATAGAAAGTCGGAGCGACCTTCTAACGATAAGCTCAGTTCAGATGGGACTCGAACTATAGGAGAATCCCCTGAGTGTTCCATCTTGAGTGGATCGTTGAGCCAGGAATTGATGAAGTGCTCAGAGTTATTGATGGATCTAAAACGGAACACCCGTAACGCATCCTGCCCAACCAGTTAATGCCCACGTTTCCTGCCCTAGCAGTCCCTCCTGTGGCAGTCACATGAAGTAGGCAAAGGAAAGGAAGAGAAATCGAAGGTACAGAATAAAGAAGTGCACTTAAATAAGAAAATAATACCAATGCGTGAAGAAAAGTAAAGAAAAGAAACTCAAAGTACGAAGATGCGAGTTAGTCAGTAAAATGGAAATGTTGCGTGTTGTCACCTAAGAGCGTTAAGTTGCCGCTCCAACCCCCTAACCGTAGATTCCCTGATAACGCTTTCCGGAAGCATGTTCCAGCGGTCGATAACTCGGCGTGACAGCCGGAGTTCCGCCCGAATCCAATCGGAACGTGGTTTTTCCAGCTTCAAGGAATGACCCCATAGAACAGACAATCTAGCGGGACTAAATAGCCAAGAGAAATCTGGACCAAGCTTCCCAGTTAAGATACGGTAGGTTAGGATTAGGTCTCCTCTAAGTCTTCGGTAGTGCATTGAATGCATTCCCAAACTAAGTAGACGCTCGGGGTACGTCCGTTCCCGTAATCCCTCGACTAAACTAGTACTCACTCGTAAAACCCTCTCTAGCTCCATTTTATCGCTGACGAGGCAGGGCGGACAAGCCTGGACGCAGTATTCCAGATGAGGCCGAACGAAAGCCGAGAACAGCCTCGTAAAGATGCTGCCCGTCAGGACTCCGAAGGAACGTCGTATTAACCATAACATGCAGAAACTTCTGCTTGCGGCCTTCTTCCAGTTGTCGCCGGAGTGTAAAGCCGAAGAGTGTACGACGCCTAGGTCAATCTGGCTAGATACACGGGGGAGTTCGACCCCACCGACCACGTACTTCGTAGGAGGACAACCTCCTCCAATTCGAAGAACGGAGCACTTTGCTTGATTTATGGGCAGTAACCATAAAGTAGACCAGTCCCAAAGCTTATCCAATGCTCGCTGAATAGCTACGGAACTCCCAGGAATATCGACAATGTTCCACAGCTTCAGGTCATCAGCAAATACCAGCGATGGAACCTTAAGCTCCGCGGGTAGGTCATTCACATAGATAGAGAACAGCAGCGGTCTACGGACCGAGCCTTGCGGCACGCACGTGAGGACAGACTGTCTAAACGATAGGCCCCGGCCTACCCGTACAAACCATTCTTTACCCTCCAAAAGAAGGAGAGTGGCTAATTTTTGACATGAAAATTCGGCCTGGAGGGACTTTGTGGTCCGGTACACCAGGCTAAATTGTGATGCTTTCATAACTGGATTTGAAATAGATGTGTATAGGTCGCTTTGTGCTTAAGTATGTACAAAATATGGTAGTTGGTAAGATATATTAGTTGTAAATTTCGCTTTCATTCATCGCGATTTTAAAAATACAAAAAATACAAAAATCAGGGGAGAGATATGTATACCACTTATCCAAGCAAGTAACTTACTGCAAGCGTAAACTTTACACACATGAAACAATTGTGTTAACACTTATTTGCTCCATAAAACAGCTGTTTACACTCCACTTTATTTACCATTTGCCTGCTTTCCATTATGCCGTGAAATTCAACTACGCCTGTAGTTGGGAAGTTTGGGCCGGACTTGCGCTGGCTATTTAGCCCGGCTAGGTTGCCTTGTCTTCGCGGTCATCCCATGAAGCTACACAAGCCGCGTTCTGACGGGATCAGGGCGGAAACTCGGTTATCGCGTAGAGTTATCGAGCGCTGGAACTCGCTTCCAGAAAATGTAGTCAGTGAACCTACGGTTAATGGTTTCCAGCGTCAGTTAGACGCTCTTGGGTGGCAACACGAAACCTTTCCCTTCCCCTGCTAGCACAAAAAGGACTTTGAAGGCGAAAATGTGTGGTAAAGTCCTTAACCGTCTACTATTAACATGAATCCATGGCTAAGGACTTTGGCGACCATTTTGTGGGCGAAATTTGTCCTTCCACTGCAGCTGTATTAAGTACACAGTGAAGGACTTTGCACGTTGTCCAATCATAAATCTAGGTTTAACAGTGGATGACAGACACACCAGCGGAGCATGAATGGTCGTTGACGATTAACCTTGAACGGCGTGGACCAATGGCCGTGCACGCACCACGACGCTACGCACGCACCTAGCCGGTACCCCAGTACGCCGCACCTACCCGGTACCCCTGTACGCCGCACCTAGCCGCAACCCCTATACGCCGCACCTACCTGCAGCCCCTGTACACCCCACGTATTGGCTACAAACCCAATCTCGCACACCGCTGGAAGGGGGATCTCAAATCCCCACCTGCGTTTCCCGTTAATAATGATATGTAACGCAGGTATTACTACCGTTTACTAATGCAAAGTAAATGTGCGAGTCATAGCTAATCGCCCATATGACCTCTTTTCTCCTGCGGCGTAACATCCTGCTGCTACTGAATGGAGGAAACCATGTTTAACACGGCGCACAGGGTCCAGTCCCACTACTCATAGTGATGCCTTAGTATTTCATTCCCAATAAGCACAAAGAAAGCGGGAATGGAATCCGATTTTTTCACAGTAAGAAGTCCGTTTACCGACGCATAGTAGCGGATACATTAAATGGAAGGACATCAATATTGACAACAGAGGTCCAAGTTCCGTTTGAATCGGTTACGCTTCTTCCATGCTGTCTCATGGGCGCTCCAAGTCCACGAATTGGAAAACCTTATTTAAGAAATGTTAATAAGTAATCCACCGTTTCATACCTGCTGGCTGCTTGCACAACCTTTGGTAGTGTCGCGCCATGCGTTGCCACGAATCGATTTCAAGTATTTCCTGACATCATCATCAGGTGACACAATAGTTCCGGAGAAACGTTTTAATAGAGCGGCTACGACGGGGATGAAAGGGCAAAAATGTTGCTTACCTTGCACTTCGGCGAATAGCTTCATCTTCCGGAATCCGTGTTTGTTGCGGAGACAGGAGTAATTGATCTCCGCCATCAATGACCGCGTTAGAAGACGCTGCATCATGAGACGTACAGTCTCCGACGTGTCTCCATGCACAACTTTCAGTTTAGACTGCATGCGTATGTGAGGTATCAAGGAATCTTACCAATTGTTGAATGCATCCTGCATTAGTATAACAAATGACTGTAGGTTCTCCACCGATGTAATTTGCGAAGGAAGCGGCGTTGCCTGCTGCCCTGTTTGCCCGGCAATGGTTGCAGCCATCGATCTCATGTAACTCTTCACATACTCCAGTGTCTCCATATGTATGTATTCTCAACAGTCTATTAGGTAGACACTGAACATTACCTGAAAATGTATACCGTTTTAGGAATGTGGGGAGTTACCATCTATGAACTCCAGTCTATTCTTCCGTTGGTTCATATCGCCCGCAAGAAAATGGTAAAACTTCAAGCACATGCTTACGGTGAATGCCATTCCAATCGCTTGTAGGAACGGTGATGGAGGAGGAGTCAGGTAGACTCTAGGACTAGGACACTCAAGCTACAAAGTGTAAGCACCAATCGGAATCTGTTTTCCGAATCTTTTCGTTCGAATTTTTATCACAGTGAGATGCAGTATTGTATACTTAAGTTTAATATTAAGAAAAATGTATCCCTTACCTGTATAAGCTGGTTTGTATCTGCCCATGTTGTATTGTTGGGAAGACGACTGACGTGGGTTTTACCCATCCAGCGGGCCAACTCAGTTAAAGAGAAGATAGCTAGCGAGCCATAAAGAACGGCGGTGGGTACCATGCGCTTCCTGGAGTGGCTCAAAGTCATCGGCAGTCTGCAGACTTCGGTGTACCTATATGTTATTGGTGAACAACGCCCTGTTTTTTCTTATATGAGGTAATCAGTAATAACTTAGGGAGATTATAAATTACCGGTATGCGGTAATGGTTAAAATTTTTTAGGCGTTAGGATATCATTTTCCGTAACCTCCACAGGACAATCTCTTTGATCAATTTGTCCGAGGCATGTTTTCGCACACAAATACCAATCCCGAGGTCTCATTAATAATGCTGAACATCAAAGGTTATGTTGAAGATGACGACGTACATACAAGAAGATCTTGATTAATAGAAACACCGAAACGTCGTGCAATAACGTCACCGCTATTACTAAGCGAATGCGCTCCGCAAAATAGAAAAGAAGCTCACAATGAAGCTATCTACGTAGAGTACAAGTAATTGCGCAAGTGGAGATAACAATGCGCAAACTGTGCGTTGGGCGATAGCAGCTAGGTCAAACCAAGGACAAAGCTTGAAAAATGAAATCAAGCTGAGAAGTTTATTTTTGCAATACTGCAATGAAAACACAAATAGTGCTTCTTATATCTAACTCACGTCGAAATGGCTTACTATCAACTCAAACTTTTTCTCCGCTATCGAAAATGCACAACGAAAAATAGAAGTCCACCACGGCCGGAGCGACCTTCTAACGATAAGCGATTAAAGTGTTGCCCGTGACGGATGCCTGGTACAGTCAGGGTAAACGTGCTCATGCAGTTTAGATGTTGTATGGTCATGTAAATGGTAAGGGCAAGTTAAGAGCCATTTCTATATACCTTAATGGTTATGGATTGGAGCAGTGTAAGTTGTTGGTTAATATGAGTTATCTAGCTTGTACATGTTGGCGCGTTTCGTTTCGTCCGCCAATGATCAAGTTTAAAACTGTTGTGTATCACGATGATACTCCGGGTTCAATCGTGTATAGTTGAAACGGTGTCAAGAGGAGTTGATATGTGAATCTAGTCGACTTGCCAGTATGTAGTTGTGGGCTGTGACTATATTCAGTGGCGAGTCACTCCGCCACGTCGCAGTGTTGTTAAACAGACATATGTGGCTTTTTATAGGGAGAACGCTTGCCAGGCGAAAACCCACCACGTCCTGCAACACTGCCGTAAAGCATTTTGAACATTAAAGTTGAACTGGCGAAGCCGCTTGACGACTGGTTTCACCTTCGGTTTTTCGCGGGGGAAATGGCTTCTAATTTCCTCTGTTAGTTGGACGGGTATTTTGCTCTGGGTCGCCATGATTTTTGAGGGTCGCTGGAGGAGAGGGACATCACGATTATTCTTCTTGTTGTATGTCCAGGTGAGCAAAAGTTTCAATTTTTCCGCTGTTCCAGATTTTTCAGATGTATAAGGTATGGGAGTATGAGGATATGTCCAGTTCTCCCATACTGGACAAGGGTTATGGTGATTGCAGGTTGGTCCTTGACGAGTTTTACCATCCTCCATGTCAGTCCCTGTGGGTTGTTCCCGTCCGTCTTGGGCCAAATTGTTCCTCAGTCCAATCCCAGATCTCCAAGATGTCCCGGACCTCAGAGAAAAGGGAAAGTGAGAGACAACCGAGAGAAGACCGCAAGAACAGGCATGGAATTAAATATTGTTAGTGTCTTGTGTTATAACATTTGGGCTTGAGACAAAAACATGTACACTGTGCAACAATAATTATGCTGAAAATGTCTTTTGAGTATCCTATAGAATCATTAGCCGTATAGGTTGATTGCTATCGCCTGCGTAGGGACAAGAGCGTTGCACAGTAAGTAAAGTACGAGTATCCGTTTGATATGAGTCGATAGTTGCGTGGGGATAGAGCAAAGAGAGTTAGAATGTTTGGTAGTGATTGTCAGGTGCATGAACAGCACGTAGTTAGTGTAATCCGAGAGGGGGGCATAATAAGCGAAAATAAATAGGTTGCTGCGAGAGAGTCTTTAAGCTCAATTGGTGGGCAGGGCAGCGGAGGGACTGGATGCAGATATTCTAGAGGAGTAAAGGTTATTCAGATACGAGGGTGGCTACTAACAAGCACTGGATCATCGCAATTGCATGGGGGGCCAATGGCCAATAGCTACTTCTGAAGAGAAATGCAGACTTTATGACGACCTGACAGGATGTTGGCGATAGGAGTGACTCGCAGTTCGCCAGATGCGAGCTATTCCAATCGGACGCTTTGTCACTAGTGTATGCCTATAGGGTCGAGGAGTGTATCTATAGGCCAGTGAAGGTAAGTGATAGGTCAACAGATCAGCTAAGCTGTCATCGCAAACAATCCAAGAGAATGAACTATTGTAAGAGGGGAGCGAGTATCCGGTTATCCGCAGAGTTAAATGGAAGCTATGGGGACTAGCTGCCTGGTAAGCAGAGATAGTGGCTCTAGGAAAGAAGGAATCAGTGGCTGCTGTAGCCATAGTATTAAGACGTATGTCCCTACTGGATACCTACAGCTTTGGATGAAGAAGTCCAACAGGCAAGCGAGGTTTAAGAGTGACATTACGGCAGACGAGAATGAAGGCTGGAGAGTCAAGAAGTGGCTCCTTGTAGGCTATATGGAGCCAACAATATCTAGCTATTGTCAAGAAAAGTTGAGGCGAGTAAGATGAACGACGGATAATGGCGCGCTAGGAGAGAGAAGAGTGACCAACAATAGAGTTTGGGCTAAGCCTTCAGTAACTAGTGGATCCTACGGTGGCACATAATAGGTCGGCAAACCATCTGAGCTGTAAAGCAAACATTCCAAGTGAATGAATATTGTAAGAAGGAGCGACTCCCACAGAGCTCCGGATATCCGCAGAGTTAAATGGAGGCTATGGCGACTAACTGCTGCTAAGCAGAGATATTGGCTCTGGAAAAGAGTGAAACAGTGGCTGGTGATAGCCATAGTATTAAGACGTTTGTCCACTATTGGATACCTACAGTTTCGGTGAAGAAATCAACATGCGAGCGAAGCTTAAGAGAGACAGACGGCACAAGAAATTGAGGGTTGGAGAGTCAGGGAGTGGCTACATTGTAAGCTACATGGAGCCAACAATGATCTAGCTATTGCCAAGAAGAGTTGACCAGAGTAGGGATAACCGGCGCGCTAGTAGAGAGATGAATAGCCAGCATTGTAGTTCGGATTAAGCCTTTGGTTACTAGTGGGATCCTACGGTGGCATATAATAGGTCAACAAAACATCTGAGCTGTGACGCAAGCAATCCAAGATGATGAACATTGTACGAATGAGAGCTACTCCTACAGATCTCCTGATATCCGCAGAGTTAGATGGAAGCTATGGCGACTAGCTGTTGCTAAGCGGAGATAGTGGCTCTAGAAAAGAATGAATCAGTGGCTGGTGCAGCCATAGTATTAAGACGTTTGTCCACTACTTGGATACCTACAGTTTCGATGAAGAAGTCAACAGACGAGCGAGGTTTAAGAGAGACATACGGCAGAAGAAAATGAAGGTTGGAGAGTCAAGAAGTGGCTATTTGTAGGCTACATGAAGCCATACAATACAATACAGCGATGTCTACCTATTGTCAAGAAACGTTGAGGCGAGTAAGATGAACGATGGATAATGGCGCGCTAGGAGAGAGGTGAATGGCAAGCATTGGAGTTCGGATTAAGCCTCCAGTTCCTAGTGGATCCTACGGTGGCATATAATAGGTCAACAAAACATCTGAGCTGTGACGCAAGCAATCCAAGATTATGAACATTGTAAGAATGGAGCTACTCCTACAGATCTCCGGATATCCGCAGAGTTAGATGGAAGCTATGGCGACTAGCTGTTGCTAAGCAGAGATACTGGCTCTAGAAAAGAATGAATCAGTGGCTGGTGCAGCCATAGTATTAAGACGTTTGTCCACTACTAGATACCTACAGTTTCGATGAAGAAGTCAACAGGCAAGCGAGGTTTAAGAGTGACATACGGCAGAAGAGAATGAAGGCTGGAGAGTCAAGAAGTGGCTCCTTGTAGGCTACATGGAGCCAACAATGTCTAGCTATTTCAAGAAAAATTGAGGCGAGTAAGATGAACGACGGATAATGGCGCGCTATAAGGACAGAGAGAAAGACGTGACCAGCAATCAGAGTCTTGGGCATAAGTTCTTCAGCTAACTAGTGGATCCTACGGTGGCACATAATAGGTCGGCAAACCATCTGAGCTGTGAAGCAAATATTCCAAGTGAATGAATATTGTAAGAAGGGAGCGACTCCCACAGAGCTCCGGATATCCGCAGAGTTAAATGGAGGCTATGGCGACTAACTGATGCTAAGCAGAGATATTGGCTTTGGAAAGAGTGAACCAGTGGCTGGTGTAGCCATAGTATTAAGACGTTTGTCCACTATTGGATACCTACAGTTTCGATGAAGGAAATCAACATGCCAGCAATGCTTTAGATAGACAGACGCCAGAAGAAAATAAGGGTTGGAGAGTCAGGGAGTGGCTACTTGTAAGCTACATGGAGGCAACAATGACTAGCTGCTGTCAAGAGGAGTTGTTGCGAGTGGGACGTAAGGCACAAAACGGTCGCGCAAGGAGAGAGAAGAGTGACCAGCAGTAGAGTTTGGGCTGAGCCTTCAGTAACTAGTGGATCCTACGGTGGCTCATCATAGATCAACAAACCGGCCGACGCAAGCATTTGAGAGAATGAATATAGCAGGAAAGGAACGACTCCTACAGAGCTCCGGATATCCGCAAAGTTAAGTTGAAGCTATGGCAACTGGCTGCTGCTAAGCAGAGATAGCCGCTTTAGAAAAGAATGAATCGGTGACTGGTGTATCCATTGCATTAAGACGTTTGCCCAATACTGGATACCA